AAAAGTAACCTGGCCTTGACTGCTTAAATGACCGCAAATTTTTTAATATCCAGCACTTGTGCTTGCGATTTTCCAAAACCACACTGGGTGGTAATCGAGCGGTAATGAGAGAAACAGGCTGACAGCCACGGGATGCGGCTAAAGAATCAAACCTAACGCCCTATTTCTGCTCTGACCGCAATATACTCTGGACTGCGTACGTGCACTCGGTTACCGCATCAAGATCGCATCCATACTTTGCGAATGTGGTGAAACCGCCGTTGCAGAGACTAGGAGCGAAGGAAAGTATAGACTACTAGCGAAGAAAGTATAAGGGTAGACCTCAAGAATCCCCAAGTTTGAAGAATGCTTAGATCGGGTATTCTCCGTAAACGCTAGTGGGAGGAATTAGTCATTTCCCATCTATCAGTCTTTTACTCTTACCCCATAACGAAAAACTGCTTCCAAAACACTACAAAATTCTGCAAGTTTCTTCCTCAGTTTTATTCTAGAGCTCCAATATCCAACGTTCACTCAGATAGACCTAATCTATTAGAGCTCCCCCAAAAGATTCTGTCTTACATAGTCCTCTCATGTCTGTGTGGTAGTGGTGCCGTACTGAGCGCGACCACGCGGCAACGCTTCTACGTCCACTGTGACTTGGGCCTGAGCGCCCACTATTGCAGCTTACCCAGTTTTCCCAGAAAAATGGCAACGAAGAAGATTTTATTATTACTAGCATTGTAAAATGTATTTACAAAAATAAATTTATAAGTTACAAATACTCAATCGCAAATAACTACCCGAAGCCGCATTAATAACCGCATTACCTGAAGAGGAGTAACCGGTAATGTGAGCACTTATACATCAGAGAGTGGTCTTCCTAGTACCACTCGCTTGACTCTCTTAGTACCACTTCTTAGTACCACTCGCTTGACTCCTGCTTCTTCTTCTTCTGCAATATGGACAAGGATTTTATCCGCTACCATCGGCACCGACCCCTCCAAGCGCTTCCTCAAACTCTTTCTTCCACCACCCTGACGCCAGCATGATAGCTGCAGATGCCAAAATAATGGAGCTGAATAAGGACGATGCCCTCAATTATCGGACAACCTTCCACGACGCTAATGCTTCAAAGCGGGAGCCTACAGTTTTGATGACGAAGTGAGGTTTGGGTTACCTGTGAACTCAGATTGAGGGAGCTGCGGGTCGTGAAAGTGCTGGATGAAGAAGCTGCTTCCTCGGTCAATGCGTACGCAAAGCAGCTACGAGATCTAAAGCGTACCGTCGATCAGAGGGAAAAATTTGTCCGCACAGCCCGCCCTCATCATGATAGTGCAGCGCACTCCGTCCAAAAAAGTTCGAGCCGTACCTCATGCAATAGAGCTGGATGGCTCTCCCCTTGCACTGGTGTAGCAGACATTGCTCCTTCTAACTGCGAGTTGCCTCCCGTACTCAATCGTTATATGGACGAGAAAACCTCCATAACCCGAGTTCAAGTCAAGATTGAGATGGTGTCCAACTTTGCGTCGCGCCTCCCTGCATTGTGAAGCGATGGCATCCATGAGGTGCTCAAAAACTGGCAAGAAGCCCGAACTTTTCACATATGATAGGTGCTCTTCCACCACGGCTCCCTTCAGCAGAGAAACACAGAGCCCGTCTCACAACTTCTTAAGCTTTTATAAAGGTTGGCAGCTGCTGTTCTCTCTCTGACTGCGCTACAGAGAATCACATAGGACCATGCAAAAATTTACGTATTCACGCAAACCCAGTCTGTTGACGCACATTTGTAAAACCCCAGCTTATCCATACTGATTCTTATACTTTCCTTCGCAAACATGAAAGAAAATTTCCAGATATCCCGGATTCTCCTTATTAGCGAATTACGAACGCGGTCTGATGAAGTAGCATAATTGTGACGCGGGGAACGGCCTATTCAAGATCAACTTTTCCACTAAAAAAGAGTAAAACATCAAACAAAGAAGCGCAATATCGCTCGGTCAAGAGACTACAGTCAGAGGCAAATGGCAAGAAAGACCGAAAGAACATCACTTAGACATCAATTACGAGGGCGAGTCTGCCGCATTTGAGCTTGCCTGATCCGACTGATTTCCGCAGATATGAGATCACATTGTTTAGAAAGATGCGTTAGTGCTCCAAAGGGTAGACGTACTACAAGATCATCCGAATTGAAAAAGTGCAGTCGCCAGACGAATTCAACGCATCGTAGCCCTTCAGTTTCATAGACCGCACGTTGGGAAACCTGAAACGTGCAAAAATAAGGCAGATAAAAGAATGAACAGTTATTCGTCAATACAGCGAAAAATATCGCTTGTATGGAACCTAGAGAGCGCAAAACTATCTCGAGTAAGGTATGAAATAGGTAAAATAATTTCTGTTTCGCTGAAGAGTCTATAAGTAATAAAAAGGACGGCCGAATTTCAGTACCAAAAAGTCCCGTTTCCCGTGCAAAAAATGTACGCGATTCCTACTACAGCCTGCAGAGCGCTCCATATCTAAGCTTCCCGAGTATTTCCTGGCAAATGACTTGCATGGCAGGTTAGCCGCAAGAGCTTCAGCACTGGTTCTCGCAAGTCACTATAGTCACGGCCTCATAGTGAAACAGCTAACCTTCAGCCGAAACCTTGAGAGCACTTAAAGACACATGCTGCGATTACCACAGAAAAGGGGTTCCTTCTTGTTCGGGAGACGCAGGTTTACAGTCGCACATGACAGGCCGCTTTCGCCAATCAAAACGTACCACGGAATCGTGATGATCAGAAACCCCGCCCATCCTTCCCTATCGATGTCTACGGCTGTTGCGCGTCGTGAGCAATCCCCCCCCCGCACGGGTGTCTGTGGCTCTTGCCCACGCTGGTTCATGTTCATCCCACTTCCCATGACTTATGATCGAGGAGTGCGTTCTTAGAGACAGTTCCCGCGATCGAGTGTCACGGGTAGTAGGTGCTCAGTCATGAACCATTGGTAACTCCTCAGTAGAGACAGAAGCGAAAAAAACCTGATAAACACCCCGATAAGAAACCCCCTCAGCAGTGGAGGCGGCGCCTTGGACGAGCTCGCTATGAAGACAGGCTCAAACAGCAGTATTCCACGTGCAACAAACCCCCGATAAGAGCATATGAAATTGCCCTACGACGCTCCAGGCAACGCTATGTACACACGCAATTCCGCTTGTAAGCCGTTGTCTTGCAGAGTGAAAGTAATCGTGGTTGCAATGGTTGCAATGCTTCTCTAGCTTCCTTACCTCGTCATTTCGGGTAACAAAGTGGTACATTCTCTGCGAATGCGGAAAGCGATGTCAAATGCAAAGGCATTTCGTAGACCTGATCGCGGAGCATTTCGCGGACCAGTTGAACACGGGAACTGCCTTAATATGCACATCTGGCTCATTGAAAGAGGTAACTAAGCCAGTCGATGTTTAGTTCACTGTTTTCGCTCTGCTAAACAAAAATATACAAGGTACCGCCTCGGACTTTGTAGATCATCCGATCTACGAAGGACAGGGACGTATTGATCCTCGACTATCACTGCACTCATTGCTCTAGTGATCAAACCCTACCCAAGCAATTAGATCCACTCATAAGTATGATCTCCGCTTGATCAATGACGGAAGAATACGCCCGAGAAAAAAACAGACTGCCATTCAATGCCCTAAAAGCTGCTTTAAACAGAAATTATGAGCTCATTTAGAAGCATGACATCATGCTTCCATTTCGATGGAGTATTTATGAACCATAAATCTGAGTCTTATGAACTGCGGAAGCAAAGGACAACAACAATTGTAGCAATTTGTATAAGAAACTGCACCAGACAATTTAGTATTGCTAAAAATACTGCAGATATTGCCATAGTGCACAATAACAATCAGTAGAAGCCGAACACTAGACGCAGTTGAAAGCAGAAGGCGGCAATGCTAATAGGGAGAGCTGTATAGAGAAGTGCAAGACAGCCAAACGTATTTACATCAGTACCATTTTGCTCACTAACATACTCCAAACCGGAGTACCCTGCCTACTGGACATCTAAGGAAATCCAAAACTCACGCCCCAACCCTTGCAGATTCGTTTTTTGTTAATGAACTCGCCGGCCGAAGAAGCTGCTACAATCTCAAACTCGAGTTCCGCAATATGGGGTGGTGGACAAGACAATCGCGATTTGTCGCGTCGTCGTGCGCGGCGTGTCACGTGGCGGTGCGCGGACGATTCTCGAAGTCCAGTGTATGTCGACTGGAGCGGCGAAAGTCACACAAATTCAAGACAAGACTCCACAACAACAGACGGTGGTCTTTTCCGTCCCTCTAACATTAAAATGTAAATGACCGGGCAAGACAACTCGTCCGCAGTGCGCAGAGTTCCCTTATAAGTACTAGAACAGAACAGGAGATCTTATCCAAACACTCCGAGATAACACCGCATAGTACTGAACTTGCGTCCAATGAAATGACTCCACTCATACATATCTGTGACAAGCCGGCTTGGACCACGCCATGGGACCGACTGAGTACGTGACATTGTTAGCTGTTGTATTGGCGCGAGGTAAAAGTTGATGAGCTGACTAAGAAAAGTATCTCTAGAGCTTTCTCCATAAATGTTGTATTGTTATGCTGAACATCGGATTCTATGCTGCTCCAGAGCGCTCTAAAAATGAAACAAGGAGCATCCTATGTCCGTTGTGGAGGAAGAGCACAGTGGGGCCCAAAGCAGCTTCAAGCATTCGCTATGTTTGGGTCCGCAAAGATCAGCTTGGAACTAAACTGGAACTTCCTCAGGCTAGAACGTTAATGAAAAGGATGGAAGAGTCACCTGAGACCATAACCTATGCTAAAGGCCTGTTCTCTTATCTGGTAATTAAGTGGAACTCAATAGCATGATGAATGATTGGCGAGAAGTGCTGAGGGAGATGGCCGTTAGCTTAAACGTGAGCAAGTCCAAATCTCCAGAGCTCACAAGATGCGAAGAGTCAATCGCAGATCGATGAAATTTTTTGAAAGAAGTTAACAATTAAATCAAAAATTGAGTTGAACCTACGTTTCTGTCGAACCGTATGCTTGAGTCCAAGTAGTCTCCGCATGTATGAGACTGAACTTGATGACGGGTCAGGCCGGATATGTTCTCGGGATGTTCCCTTAGAATGTCAACACTTTTACAGATGAACGTCCTCTCATCATCTTTGAGTAGAGATCCTACAGGATGGTTATCAATGATGTTTTCAATCTGAAAAAAGAAGGGTGAAACTTGTAGAAATTTTCCAAGATGGCAAAATCAACAGAGTAAGGAATGGAATAGAAGAAAGGAATAAAGAATGAGTAAAAGAGTAAGGAATGAAACGACCAGTGGTGATCGATCCTTTTGGAGCACCTTATGTAAGCAACCATTATTTAGAATCTAAAAAGGAACTTTTGAGTGCTACTCCCCTCATGATTAGTCTGGTTCGCTGAGTATAAGGGGGCGTGTTTGGCAAGATGGTTTCGAAGGGGCGCCAAGTCTATCCCACCTGACACGCCCCTTCATCCGCAGCAAAACGACCGTGAATAGGGTGGGAATTTTTGTGAATTCATCAGTGATAATAACGCTATGGCACGCTGGCACAACTGCTAAAGCCCCCAATTATGCATTTTAATGTGGGGTGTAGTGTGTAGTCCCAATCCAGCTGTTTGCTACGCTCCTGCTTCCCCATATACTCTACTCCCGGTCGCTTATGGACGCTGGTGGACGCTGGCAAACGCTGGCAGACGCTAGATCGATACCTATCCTTCCCTAGCCCTCGAGACGCTGGAGGACGCTGGCAGACGCTAGATCGATATCTGTACATTTCCTAGTCGCTGACGCTGCCGGACGCTCGGAACGCTAGTGGACGCTGCCGCAAAGTATGAACGCAGCCTAAAAACAGCAAATGTATCACTGCAAACAGGATATTTCCGCTACGCCAAAGTGGTGCCGATCAGCCAAAAAGTTAGCGATCGCGTAGAAATGCAGGGCAGTTTCGTAGGCCAATGAGTGGAATGGCCAGAACGGAACGGCGGTATCACACGTATCACACCTGTACGACTGAGAGATCGCAAACCTAAATCAGCCAGGATTTCTTCTTTCAAAGTGGCCAATTTCATAACGAAAGGAGTGGGTAGTCCAGGAATCCCTTTTGTAGCTCAAGCTTGCACCAAGACCCTTCTGGGGAACATGGTAGTAGTTAAACGCGTACCCTATTTCACAGGTGTTGGCCAGTGCCAAGCTGATTCAATCACTGCCGCGTAGTACAGCATCGTGATGCGTGAAATGGCGGTGTCGGTAAGCCCTCCCGCCCCATCCCACCTCCTCGCCGGATTTCCTGTTCGGGATTGGTACAAACCCCCCCCTATCTAGCATCGTCCTCAATTTCCCCGACTTTCTACCAATTTTGCCACTTTTCAAATTCCTTTTTTTCCAATTCGCGTAATGCAGTATAAGAAAAACCGCCGAGTTTGTTGTATACGATACCTGGGTAAACAAAAAAAAACCATCTGATTGGAAAGTAGAGACAAATATTTGGGTGAAGAGCACCGCCTCACCTTGAGAACTATTTGGGGGAATAAGAAAAATACCTTGAGATCGGGAGCGCTCATGTTGACGGCGATTTTGACAAGTAGATGAACGATCCTCCGAAGAAGATCCCCGTCTACGTTGAGCTCTTCTAAAAAAAGTAGTTTTTCAGCCAGAGCAATGAATCACTGCGAACATTAAAAAAATCACCTGCTACTGGAGCATAGTCCAATTCGGACTGACGATTTACGACGAAGCTTTCAATCAAAGGAAGAATCTCAGCACATTTCGGCCATGAAAAATGTAACTATAAGCGGCTAAATTAATAAGGAGGCGTTACAGCGTAAATAGGTACGCTGCTAAAACTTTTTCGAGCGTCCACAACTACAGTTAATAAAACGTGCTTGTTCTCGTCATTCTCTTAAGGTGAAGCTGCTCAGGAGATACAAAAGGACAAGCTTACTGCATCTGTACCACCCCATTAACGAAATCAGTATTGACCCAACTTCCAAGAAGATCAAATGAGGATTATGTAGTTCACCTACACCGTCGCTCCCCTCCCTAACCAGGGAAGTCCGCCAGCTTACCATGGAACTTTGAATGGAGACCTGGGTAGATCGATAGAGTCTATAAGGTTATTTACAAATATAGATAGCAAAACTGCAACCTGCATTTCACAAGCAGCTTATGAGCAGGCGGAAATCCCTGGTAAGGCTCCAAAAATCCTCATCCCTTTCCCGATTCTGTTTCTTCGCGACTTCCAAAACGGAAAGCTGCAAAGCTCGGCAGAAAAAAAAATCGAAGAAATTGGATACAAAGTTTCAAAGAACACCTTGTGCAAAACTGCGACTACAGAAAACTGACGACTACTGCACGGAAGGCATCATCTTCACAGCTAACAAATAAACGCCCACTCAAACAACTTACCAAGCCCTTCAGAAGCGAGAAGAGCCTGCAATTCCGTGATCATTTTTCCCAAGTCATCCTTGGTAGACGCCAAAGTCATCACCAGCGTTGTTATTGGTGGGCTTCCACTGACAACAAGGAAACAGTTCTGCAAGTCGTACAGTGAAAGTTAGTGTGGCAAATGTTGTAATCTGGGACCTTGAACACTCCACACCCCGACGATGGTGAGGGCGTGGCCGCGTACTTCATTTGGACGTGAAGGCGGCTGCGCTTTCGACATTGCTGTTTAAGAACGCAAGACAAGATGACACTTGTCTCGAAAGGAACTATTTCATGAAGAACGCATATTTTGCCATGTTTAAATGGAGTGCGCAGCCATGTCCACGTCATCTCTGGTATGAGGGTGGAGCCCACTTGAGTCAGCGAGGGGTGACTTCCTCTCATGGGAAAGGGTTCCCTACTGACAATGCTCTCTTTGCTCTGCATCTATGACCCCCCCCTCCCCCCTAGCGCACACTATACGCGAACATAGTGCAGCGCAAAGCATGGCAGGTAGTAGCACGGCATGCTCCCTTCTCCTCAATATATGTGGATGAGGGGAGGGGGGGGGGTAATGGGCAGCAGGGATGAAGAGAGGCCTGAAGCAGAGAAACCGCTGATATCGCTGGAGCTTGGCGGCAGGGAGCGATGTTCATGGGTGGGGTGGGGGTGGGTGGTATCGCTCCCTAGGTGGGAAATACAGCATATATAACATACAACGTACGACTACAGGGGACAACAGAACGGGGTCGTATTTCGCGTTGTACAGGGGTCGTGGTTGGTCTGGAAAAATTTCCCTGACTTAGTTTTACGCGATACACGCGCGACGGCGTTCGGTTAGGCCGCGTTCATACATGATGCAGAAATGCCGAACCACGGAATGTGCAGAACTGCGGAATTTGCAGACGTGTGGAATCTGCAGAACCGCGGAACTTGCAGAAAAAGAAAATATGTCTATCGATTTCAAAAACCGTGGAATATGCAGAAGTGCGGAATTTGCAGAAATGCCGATGGACCGATCGATCCCTATCGCTTCTTTGTCCGTAATTTCTGCATGTCGGCAAATTCCGCGGAATTTGAAGAAATGCAGTTTTCAGATCGATACGTATATATTTCCTTTCTGCAAATTCCGCAGTTCTGCATATTCCGCATTTCTGCATCATGTATGAACGCGGCCTTATGGCTGGCTACGGCGTGACTATGGCCTGCAATTTTGAGATGAGAAGTGCTTCAGGATGGGTGAGGATTTCGCTAGAAGTTTAGCTCGTGCAAGGGCGAAGTCACGCCTTTGAAATGGACCACCCGCTACGGAGTTCCCTCCTTTTGGGTTATTACTGGGCTTCAGTCAACCGGATGGTCTCTACCTATGAATACGCTCAAGTACTTCCTTAGCGGTATCTTTCGGCTTATCACGGGAGGGAGAAAAATAAAGAAGAGGGAGGAAGAAGAAAAGAAAAAGAAAAATGGAACAAGAAGCTTTGCCGTTCGTTCACTTGCACACTACCGTAACCCAACGAAAAATTGCAGACCGGCTCCAATCCGTCCGAGGCGTGAAACAAGCGGCAGCTTTGGTTAGTGTTATAATTGTAATCCTTTTAAGAGTTACGCATGAACTAGGAACAATGGCCAGAATGGGCTGAGCTAAAGATCGCTTAAGTGTCGATTACCTGTTGTTATGTTGAAAGTCTGAGGTCATTAAGTTGCAAAAGACACATAGCTACAAATCACTCAAGTGAACAGTTTAGGTGAGTGATTCTATGTTTTTAGAGCCTTTTGCACTTGCGTCGGCTAAATCTACAATCAGGGAAAATATTTGCAGGGACGTGAGTTTTCCGCGGCCTTGGAGCAGGCTTTTTGGACTGGAGCGCGCTTTCCCTTGGAGGGCAAATTTGCTAGTCACTTCTTCCTTGTCTTATATTGCGACGGAAGCTGAAAAAACTGTAACAGAGGGGGATCTGTGAAATAAAATCTGCCGTGAAAGGTCAATTTTTTTTTTTTTGTTTGGGAACATCCCACTACTAATACTTAGCCACGAATGTCACCATGCACAAGGAAGTGGTGCTTTTTTTTTAAGAAGCCTTTCTCAACGTCCACCGCAAATGTAATCAGAACTATAAAACAGATATTTTATTTTAGAAGTGTCATTTCTTGAACTTCAGTAACAACTCGTCATACCATTTACTGCGGTTCTATTTCCTAAAAACTGTCTGTGAGTAGGTATTACTGGAAATTATAGCATAACCCGAGCAAAGACCAAGACTGCTTCAGATCGCAAACATGCCAATTAATCGCCTTTAATGGAGTCAAAGTAAAGCTGCCAGAGACTCGAACTCCCTCTTCTTTTGTGGAGAGGCACTCGTTACTGCTACAAACGGCTTGCCTTTTTGTATAGATTGATGCGAAGTCTGATGACTTCGCTTTACCCATTCCCTTATTACAAACAAATCAAGGGTAACCCAATCATATCTACATAGGATATGTTTCTTTCGCGTGCAAAGTTCATTCGTGTCGCCCATTAAATACCTCGAGACTACAAGCAGAGGGCAGCAGATTCCGGCTAATCAGAATCATGTTTTTGAGCAATCATGCTTCGCCATGAATGTTCTCAACTTTCATGAGCAGGACCTCTTACGCTCAGCACTTCTCAGCGAATCATGGATCACCCATCATCTGACATGAGCGTACAACAGTGAAGAATTCATAGCGTACAACACTGAAGAATCGGTGAATAGCGACTCTGATAGAATCAGACTAGATGTTTAAATACGCGAAAAGGGAGCTGCGTCTACTAAAGGTTTTCAGAATTGACACGTAGTCTTTTTCGTGGTTTCTTCCGAGCTCATCATTTATTCCGTGATTATCGTGCAATTGCTTTTCCAGACAACGTGTTATGGCTACTATTAAAAAGTTCGAAATACTGCACAAACAAAAATAAGTTGTAGGAGGCATCACAAAGCCAAACAGTGTTAAATCGCGCGTGATGAGTAGCTGTTAATCTTACTGGGCGAAATAGTTCTATTCCTCGTTGCCGTAGTCTTGAACATTCAAGAGAACATGAATTGTGACCAAAAATTTAAGAGTGGCACTCCTGGACGAATGTCACTGTAAGACTGTGTCAAACATTTCCTTTCGAACTTGCTCGCATCGTTTTTATAAGACATACAGCAGACGGGAAGCCACTACCTTACTGTGTTCAAGGATTGCGCGCTCCAGTCCAAAAAGCCTGCTCCAAGGCCGCGGAAAACTCGTCCCTGAATTTTTCCTTGTTGTATTTAGCGGCGAGTCTTTGCTCGTGCTAACCTGCATGCTATTCGGTCAGCGGTGGAATTTTTTTCCCCCCGTGTGCATTGCTCCTTTGCTCTCACGTCGCTTGATTACCATGTTATTCTTTCGTTTGAGATTAATTATGTGATTGAGACTCCTTGGCATGACTCAGCATTTATCACCAGGTGTGGAGAAAGAGCAACAACCCTCTGATGTAAGTACTTTACTGTTTTTGACGAGCGGAATGTTAGCTTTTTCTGATACAGTTGGCCCATCCACGAAAATTAACGATCTCTGCGTTTGAATATCTCACGGCCTATAACAATACATATCAGAAGCGTTTTTATTTGTGGCTCGTGTTAACCTTGTTTATTTGTTGTTTTCAGGATTACAGTTTGTAATGACGAAATCTCATATTTGTCGGGTGATTGCAGGGATGAGCCGTCATTACAATCCATGCCCCACAATGAACGACAAAAGCTCCTTTTAGGTTAGTTTTATTTAGGTTGCCTGCCTAAACTGTGTTCTGGAACAAGAAGCTTTGCCGTTCGTTCACTTGCACACTACCGTAACCCAACGAAAAATTGCAGACCGGCTCCATCCGTCCGAGGCGTAAACAAGGCGGCACTTTGTTAGTGTTTAATTGTAATCCTTTTAGAGGTTACGCATGCACTAGACAAGGGCTAGCTCATGGTTGAGCTGTCGCTAGTGTCGATTACCTTGTTGAGTGGAAATCTAGTCACTGGTGCAAAAGGCAATAACTACAATCACTCAAGTGAACAGTTATGGTTGAGTGATTTATTGTTTTAGCCTTTTGCTCGTGCTACCTGCATGTATTGGTCAACGTAAATTTCATGTGCTGCTCCTTTGCTCTCCCAAACAGTCCTTGTACTACCTGTTCATTCTTTCGTTTAGATAATTATGTGATTGAGGACTCCTTGGCATGACTCAGCATTTATCACCAGGTGTGGAGAAAGAGCAACAACCCTCTGATGTAAGTACTTTACTATTTTTGACGAGCGGAAATTTTAGCTTTTTTCTATACAATTGTCAATCCAACATCTCTGCTTTGATGTCTCCGCCTATATAATACTTATCAGGAGCCTTTTCAATACTGTGGCATGTTAACTCTATTTGTCATTTACAGGATTACAGTTGTAATGACGAAATCTCATATTTGTCGGGTGATTGCAGAGATGAGCCGTCATTACAATCCATGCCCCACAATGATCGACAAAAGCTCCTTTTAGGTTAGTTCATTAGGTCTGCCTGCCTAAAGCTGTGTTCAGTTGCTCGTTTCAGGGATATTCCTTGACTGTTTCGAGGCCTTACGTAGTAAAGAGATTGAAGCAGCGAAACGAGATCTCGAAAGATGTAGAAGGGATAGGAACCATATTCTGGTGGGTTTCATTACTAGCGATTTCATCTCATTCGAAGCCACTTTTACCCTCCTTTCTTGAGTTTTCCGCGACTATGCTTTGCTACTGAGGAGATTCGGTTATTCAAAGACTCGTTGCGAGCGGTTGCGCGCCAAAGGAGTGGATGATGCATGTCGCTGGCGGCTGCGGAGATTCGGCAATCCGGCGGCGATCGATACCCATCCATTCCCTTGGCGTGCAATCGCTCGGGACGCCGATTATGCCTATTCGCCGGATCGCTCACTCTCCCAATACGTCGAATCGCCGAAGTTTCACAGTCGCAAGCGACCGGTGCCGATCAATACCCGTCACT